AAATAATATCTTCTATATATCATATTTATCAGTCCGAGCAGCGTTTATTTATTTATAAACTACTATTATGGTAATATCAATAGTGTAGGATGGATGAATGTACAGGCTCGCATTGTTAACAAACTTACACGAAAATTATTTACTCTGTTTTCTGCTACATCGCAACTTTCCGAATATTTTTCCATTTACAGAAAATGTCCTACTCATGTGCTACTTATAAATTTGTAGCTTCAACAATATTATCACATAATTTGTTGTTAATTGGTTTAAGATAAGAGATTGTTGTCTAACCAGGCAGTCTGAAACAATTGCCTAGACATATGGTTTACATTAAATGAAACTTGTCAAAATTGTTTGAGGTAAACACCAAACATGAAGGGTCTTACAATGTATACGCAACCAGGGATAGGTCAGGGGTTGTTGTAGCAATGATATCTTAAAAAGAAAATGATATTCATGCAGAAAAAAAATACGGAAATTGGAATACAATGATCTCTGTTTTTAATTGTTGAAGGAACGACCTGCGTTAACGCAACTATTTCAAACCAAATTGGTCAGTTCATCAAATGGTCATACAGCACCTCGTTTTATCCAGGAGAGAGTGTATTTTCTAAAAGGTTTGATACACGCATAGAGAAAGCAACAGGACTGAAATCCAGTAATGGTGGGAAATTCCAATTGACATCATACCCCCGCGGCGTCGGTGAGTAATATACATGACTCCAAGTAATCATATCTAATCAAAATGCATATGGTTATTATTCATAATATCATTAGATCGCGCACTGTACTGTCTTCAAAAGTTTGGATCGGTAGTAATTACGATGTGGTTATAATAAATACTACTTCCATTCTTTCCATATATAGGTTATAAACCCCACACTGATTGTATAGTGGGCTCCACAGAAAAACGTGATCGCTTTGCTACGATACTGGTATATCTTCAGGACGTCCCCAAAGGAGGCGAAACCGTGTTTTCAGGTAATTCGGCACCGCACAGACCTAATTGCAATCACTCAGTTACCAAGTACTATAATGATAATGACATTCGCATTGAACCATATTATTTTACTGAATCGAATAATACAATTTATCGTATGCACGTTGAAAAATATTCAAGGGCGGCAGTCGTCACGCCTCGTCCTGTTCGATATGAGACGCAAAGCGACGTGTACAACGCTTGGAAAATACGTTGTTTATTTACATGAACTCGAACACGCGTTGCGCGACGACCACCGCGCTTTAAACTAAAATAACTGCTTGTATTTACGTACCCAATTTGTCTGATTATTGTCGATAATAGCGCAATGTGTTTTTTATTCGGGTGTGTGGGTTGGGGTGATTGTTCGTTCAAGCATGGCAGACTGATAGACACGATCCACCTAATCAGATGAGCGGATATTTTAGCCTGATTATTGTAGTATTAAAACTTGCAGGTAGTACCATGCAGATATATCAGTTTGTTATTTGTCTTGTGCGTCCCCGTGCTCAATGGGAGAAATGTTTTGTTTCATTTTGTATCAATCGTTACGTATGCACTGCTATTCGAAATCCCGTTATTTTGAGAGCGTCACGAACCGTTTTATTGAAACTCAACAGAGTGTGGGTAATATGCACTACGATTGTGTATTCCCTCCCATTCTCTAATTGTCTCATGCCAGGCTCGTCACGTACACAGTTTTAATGGGCATTCATTTTTTAACATTATGTCTCTGTCAAGATTTGTGAATCATGGCGGTGTGCACTACAGCAGAATGTATTGCTGATTATTGTTGTATGAAGCTACGTATATGTCGGGGAGAAATGTTAAATACTAACACAACCTCATTGATAAACACATTACTAGCTACACATTTTGCCACCATTGATGACGGCCACATTTATATACTAGTTGCATTGTTTCCAATATTTTCTTGAGCGCCTTCAACATGTGCAGTATATTGGACCATGAATACAAAAGTTATCCGTGTCTGAGCGTAGTTGATGGGATGCATCGCTTTTTCAACTTTTTGGCTGCTTGCTAAAAAAAATACTACGTATCGTTCAAAACACACTCGAAAGCAGTGCGTTACGAAAAAATAACTATATATTCCAAAGACAGGAAACTGAAGGCTATACTGGAAAAATGCAGACCAATCTTATCTTGAAATGCTTCGAACATCTTTTGTAAAAGGAAACCTTCGTATAGTCGACCATAACATTTCTCGCATTTTACTTAATCACAAACTCTTATTTGGAAATCAACAAGGAAAAGCCCATCAGGCGAGAGAAAAAAAGCACTTAAAAATATTACTTCAAAGAAAAATCGACAAGACGTTTCGGATGAACTGTCTTCATCAGAAAAAACAGGAATGGCACAGAAGGGCGTTGACCTGAAACGTCTCTTCCTCTTGGTTTTCTTTAGTGTAATATTTCTGAGTACTTTTTATCCGGCCTGTTGGTCTTTTTTTGTTCTCTCTACAGCTCTTTTGTGGATATGATTCGGAAATATTTAGTAATCTTCGGTAATTTGCAAGAAACCTATGCTATCTTGCGAATATAGTAACTGTATATTTGAGATATGGCACAAATTACCTAATAATATCGTGTCCTATAAAATAAAGCAGATTATACAATTTTAATGCATTTTGTGAATAATAAGTGTTCTAATTACTCGCCATTTCTTCCTTCTAGAGTTGAATATAAGCGTGCGTCCAATACAGGGTAGGGCACTTGTTTGGAACAACATGGATTCAGACGGCAAATGTCAACCATTATCACTACACGAAGCAGCTCCAGTTATAAGGGGAAGTAAATACATCATACAGAGATGGTAAGTATGTATTGTCAGACACATTCAGCTTTACATGGAGAAAACACCCACTGAGACGACTAATATCACATTTAATGGCACAGCTCGAATATAATTGAATACTAGTAGTACTCAAATATTCATGTTCATTTGGAACTATTGAGGTTGACTGTGAGCACGTCTTCTTGCAGTGGCGAATCGCTGTGCCGTGACTCAAGTTAAAATTCGGTGTTTAGTGTTGTAATATATGTATCCTCGTTTGCCTGTAACTACATTCATTTATAGTAATAGTAGTAATGCAAAAACATTGATTTTACTTCAGATATACATTCATTACTCTATTTATAGTAATAGTAGTAATGCAGTAACATTCTTTTTACTCTATTTATAGTAATAGTAGCAATGAAGTAACATTGATTTTACTTCAGATATACATTCATTACTTTATTTAGAGTAATAGTAGTAATCCAGTGACATTCATTACTATATCTATAGTAATATTAGTAATCCAGTAACATTCATTACTCTATTTATAGTTATATTAGTAATCAAGTAACATTTATTTCACTTCAGATATACATTCATTACTCTATTTATAGTAATATTAGTACTCCAGTAACATTTATTTTACTTCAGATATACACTCATTACTCTATTCATAGTAATATTAGTAATCCAGTAATATTTATTTTACTTCAGATATACATTCATTACTCTATTTATAGTAATATTAGTAATCCAGTAACATTCATTACTCTATTAATAGTAATAGTAGTAATGCAGTTACATTCATTACTATATCTATAGTAATAGTAGTAATGCAGAAACATTGATTTTACTTCAGACATGTATTCATTACTCTATTTATAGTAATAGTAGTAATCCAGAAACATTCATTACTCTATTTATAGTAATAGTAGTAATGCAGTAACATTCATTACTATATTTATAGTAATAGTAGTAATGCAGTAATATTCATTACTCTATAGTAATAGTAGTAATACAGTAACATTCATTACTCTATTCATAGTAATAGTAGTAATGCAGTAACATTCATTACTCTACTTATAGTAATAGTAGTAATGCAGTGACATTCATTACTCTATTTATAGTAATAGTAGTAATGCAGTAACATTCACTACTCTGTTTATAGTAATAGTAGTAATATAGTAACATTCATTACTCTATTTATAGTAATAGTAGTAATGCAATAACATTCATTACTCTATTTATAGTAATAGTCGTAATGCAATAACATTCATTTACTTCAGATATATATTCATTACGCTATTTATAGTAATAGTAATAATGCAGTAACATTCATTTTACTTCAGATATACATTCATTACTCATTATTAACAGTAGTAATGCAATAATATTCATTACTCTATTTATAGTGATATTAGTAATGCAGTAACATTCATTACTCTAGTTAAAGTAATAGTAGTAATCCACTAACATTCAATTTACTTCAGATATACATTCATTACTCTATTTATAGTGATAGTGGTAATCCAGTAACATTCACTACTCTATTTATAGTGATAGTAGTAATGCAGTAACATTCATTACTCCAGTTATAGTAATAGTAGTAATCCAGTGACATTCAATTTACTCCAGGTATACATTCATTACGCTGTTTATAGTAATAGTAATAATGCAGTAACATTGCTTTTACGTCAGGTATACATTCATTACTCTTATTATAGTAATAATATTAATGCAGTAACATTCATTACTCCATTTATAGTGATAGTAGTAATGCAGTAACATTCATTTTACTTCAGATATACATTCATTACTCAGTATTAATAGTAGTATTGTAATAACATTCATTACTCTTTTTATAGTGATAGTAGTAATGCAGTAACATTCATTACTATAGTTAAAGTATTAGTAGTAATCCAGTAACATTCATTACTCTAGTTATAGTAATAGTATTAATGCAATGACATTCATTACTCTCTTTATAGTGATAGTAGTAATGCAGTAACATTCATTACTCTAGTTATAGTAATAGTAGTAATCCAGTAACATTTAATTTACTCCAGGTATACATTCATTACGCTGTTTATAGTAATAGTAATAATGCATTAATATTGATTTTACTTCAGGTATACATTCATTACTCTATTTATAGTAATAGTAGTAATGCAATAACGTTCATTTTACTTCAGATATACATTCATTACTCTATTTATAGTAATAGTAGTAATGCAGTAACATTCATTACTCTATTTATAGTAATAGTAGTAATGCAATAACGTTCATTTTACTTCAGATATACATTCATTATTCTATTTATAGTAATATTGGAATGCAGTAACATTCATTTTACTCTATCTATAGTTATAGTAGTAAGGCATTAACATTCATTTTACTTCAGATATACATTTATTACTCTATTTATAGTAATAGTATTAATCCAGTAACATACATTATTCTATTTATAGTAATAGCAATAATGCAGTAACATTCATTACTATATTTATTGTGATAGTATTAATCCAGTAACATTCATTTTACTTCAGATATACATTCATTACTCATTTTTAATAGTAATAATGCAATAACGTTCATTTTACTTCAGATATACATTCATTACTCTATTTATAGTAATAGTAGTAATGCAGTAACATTCATTACTCTATTTATAGTAATATTAGTAATCCAGTAACAATGATTACTCTATTTATAGTAATAGTGGTAATCCAGTAACATTCATTACTCTATTTATAGTAATAGTAGTAATGCAGTAACATTTATTACTATATTTATAGTAATTGTAGTAATGCAGTAATATTCATTACTCTATTTATAGTAATAGTAGTAATGCAGTAACATTCATTACTTTATTTATAGTAATAGTAGTAATGCAGTAACATTCATTACTCTATTAATAGTAATATTAGTAATGCAGTAACATTCATTACTCTACTTATAGTAATAGTAATAATGCAGTAACATTCATTACTCTATTTATAGTAATAGTAGTAATGCAATAACATTCATTACTCTATTTATAGTAGCAGTAGTAATGCAATAATATTCATTACTCTATTTATAGTAACATTGGTAATGCAATAATATTCATTACTCTATTTATAGTAATAGTAGTAATGCA